TAGACAAGCGTCATTGAATCTAATTGCATCCGTGCGTGAGCATGGTTTGCTCGCTCTAATTTGATCATTACACTTAAATTAAAACTGAACGTGTATATACAACTACGCAGATGTTGAATAAATAACACAGCGACGGAGGGAAAAAACCTCTTGCGCCCAATCATATTTGCAGAATTCGTTAAGTGTCCATCTCGTTCGGTGATCCGTACGTGGCTTTCAGTCTGGGCTCCTCTCCGACTCACAGAACAGCCGTTAAAAGGGTACCTTTTCCTTGAGTAGTTTGTGTCCTTTAAAGTTAGAGCAGTCACAATTTAAAACTTAATTTCACTCTTGTCGAAAGATATCACATATCACACGCATGATCTCCAACCCAACTGGCCGTTTTGTAATGCTTCTTAAAGATTACAGTTTGTTCTATTTTTCCTTCTATTTGCGGTAGTTGAAATTTTTTACCAAGTGACTTAATATGAATTAATTCCAGTAATAAATAGTAGTTTTAAGTTCGCTTGTGTGCATTGTATAGCGGAATTTCCGTTGAATAGACATTGTTTTCAACCGTCGTTGATTAAAAGGATTTCCGAGGCAGTTAAAGAATTGAAAGTAGACATGAAAGCTGTAATTAAAACTAACGTAAAATATTTCAATTTTGCGAGTGGAATGATTTATAGCCTGCTAATCTGTTTGTTGGAGGTCTTTTTTGGAAAGAACAATGTATGGAAAGATGGATTGTTGTATGAGAATTGGATTTTCACTTATCTATTTCGTTATTTGGATTGTGTTCTTTTTTTTGTTTTTGTTTTTGATATTATCATCCAAGAGCCCGGCTAACGCTCGAAACGTCAGCTTTTGAACTCTTTACGGCGGCCAATTTACAATTTCAACTTCGTTGATATAACCAAATTGTCCGGTACAATAGTTGTCTTGCTGTACGTGACAAGGAATGTGGTGTCATTTAACTCGCCCTTGGCCTTCAAGGAAAAGGCAAACATTTTGAAAATTTAATGAAAACTCGAATATTAGTCTCCGTTGCAATAATTTATCTTGAAAATCTTCATCATTCTGAACAACTGTCACTAAACTTAACAACTTGCAATCTAGATACCACATAGTTAGCAGATCAATGTTGAGTACAAAAAAAAAAAAGAAAAATTAATAACCTCATATTTGATTCTTATGGTGATGCTTAATTTGTTTTTTTTTCCTTTAAATTCTAGTTTATTTGTTAATTTCATCTTAACTTTGAAATTTTTTTTTTTCACGTTACAGACGAATAAAATCACATGCACGATACACGCTACTTACAGTTGATTCTGACATCGTCTACAATAGTCATATAACTAAACAATCTTAACACTGACGTAACAGAAAGATTAAACACTGCAAAACAGGAACTTAAAATACTTACAGTGCGCTACAGTATCTACTCCTAAAAAAACTTTCGGCAGTAGAAGTTTGAAACTTTAGAACGTTTGTTTTAAGCCTTATATGGAAATAGCGCACTAGGACATATTAGATTAGAATGCTTGTCATATTAGAAGATAAATGTATAGTAATTGGGGAATTTTTTTCGTAATAACGTTTTCAACCTCGAATTTCACTCGTGACTAAAGCTATGCAGGAGAAAGAGAAAGACATATTCAAATTTAAGCTCTGAAATATTTTAATAGAAATTACGGTCTTAATCGGATGAAAGTTTAAAAGACAGATTTGTATAGTAGCAATAGCTTGGACAAGAAGAACCTAACTAGTTCACTTGACTGTTAACTAATTAACAAGGTTTAAATAAAGGTGCACCGAACGAAGTGTTAATTTTGAAGAAATGTGTTGGAAAAAAATACAATTTGAAAGTGGACTGCTTGGTTTGTTTTCTTCTAGATGTTCCTCTCGATTTTCAACCAGATCAGTATCGGAATTATATTCATTTTGTGGAACATAAATTGGGAAGATTCATTTGGACAGGTCAATTTTGCTCGCTTGCACGTAGTTAGTTGGCATTTTTCCACAACAGTTGAACGAAGATCATCGGACTGGGAGCGTTTAGCATGGAAAGAATTTGCGGTTCTTGATAGACGAGGCAAAAATACATGATTAATTCAATGTGATGCATTGGTTGCTAATACTCTGAGTAATGAGGTATGGAAAAAACATCTTCCAGCCAAATGTGACATGATTTTTTGAGGCCTAAGGACATCGTTCCAATATGTTTTCAAAACCATCACAAATTATGATAATTGGAAAATTGTCCAATTTTTAATTACACTTTTCCTTTGAATCTAGTTAGCGTCTCGTAAAATTGACCGTCGACGTGCTCATTTTTCACATTTTTGTGGCACTTAAGAAACAAGGTAGAAGTGAAATTTAATCAGTTGGGAGGAATTCAGTAAAACATAAGATTAGCCGGTGCTGTATCCTCTCCATTATCTACCCGGATACAAATGTTGTATTTTTTTCACTTTTCAATAATCTCCTTAAATAATGAAGCCTACCTTCAAGGATTAGTTTGCCTATTTCGCTAATCCACAGGACAACATCTGGGATTAAATAACGCGAACAGGGGTTTCACTTTAAGCTCAAGATCGAATGCAAGATAACAGTTGATGTAAGTGAGTGGCGAATTGTTGAAATTTCAGTCATAATTATAAATGATTCTTGTTGTATTTTATAGATGTTGTAATTATAAAAGAACCGAAATAACAGACACGATTGAGAGAATTATCAGAGCTTTTTTTCCTCAGAAATTAATTACTCTGTTCTAGCTGCAAGAGGAATTCTTTTATCTGTGATTCGCGATATTTTTATTAATTTTGTAGAACATCATAGTTGTATTTTAAAAGCTACCTATGCGTAATATGTTTTGTATCACGACTAATCATGAGGAAAACTTCCTTGAAATCACAACGTTGCATTGTAGAAACAAAACTTTTAGCGTAATACGACCAACTTTTTCAGCACGTGCCCCTCGACAGTCAAATACAATCTCATAGTTTTTGTGTCGTAAGCTTCGTTTTTTGCCCTCACATTGTGAACTTTCCCCCTAAAATTTTGGGAAAGTTTCAAAGATCTTAACTGTTCGAATTGTGCATGTTTAACAATGATTCAAATCGACAAGCCGAAAATCACCCACCCTCAGTTTTCTTTTTTTTTTATAATTTCCCTCTTTCTATATAACAGTCTTCACAGGAGCGTTCTATTAGATGTTTCGTTTTCATAACGCTAATCTCCAGATAACGAAATTTTTACATATGAAACGAAATGTTATTTGTAGTATGGTGGCGTTGCAGCTGTACCTGAAAAACATCACTTTGAAATTACTTTAAAACGTTATGAACGTGCTCGCAAAAAAGATGTTTTCGTTATGAAATTATACCTCCTTCCGCTAAGCGAACGTGTGAATTTTCAACAAATTACACAATAAACATTTTAAATATTTTTCGTTGAGTATATCCATTCTGGACCTTCAAAACTTAAATATTCACCGTGTTATTTTCGAGGAATAAGGTCTAATGTTCATTTCCATTTGAACTCATGATTCTGCTCAAGTGCCAATTTATTCAGTACCAGATACGGTTATTTCGAGCTTCAAATGCTTCATTTTTAGAAAAGATTTTGTATAGGCTAACGAGATAATTAGAAATCTTCAATTAATAGGACCTCCGCTCTAAGCTTGCGGAAGTAAGAGCGGCGCTACCTGTATTACCATCAACAAATCTCCATGTGTCATTTTCCATTAGCACATCCTAAGTGATTCTCAGTTGCTTTGGGCAAAATTTGCGTTAAAATACACGCCGGTTTTAACCTTGAAAACTGATTTCCTTTCAAATTGAAGTGCATTCAAGATGCCCGCGGCGCCCATTTCGCTTTTTACAACCTCGTTCAAAATAATACATGTTGGGCGATTCCAGAATTGATTTTATTTCTTCCTTTTTATAATTGACGATCCGGTCAACACAATTGCCACAAAGGCTCGTTATCAAGTTGAAATAAGGAAAATAACTTTAATACCTAAGTTTTTTTAGTTTCGTTTCGGCCGCGTGAATTTTATAACAGCCGTTGATTCGTATTTTTGCGGGCTCGTCAAAGCGCACCTTGATGTTCTATGTTTACTATACGTTGTATTCACTCACAGTCGATCTAATCCACGTTTGTTACGCGATAATTAAAATGTAAAAGGAATAGTTCACAAAGGGACCTCTGTGAACGTGCAAACACAAATTGAGCCTAATCCGATCAACAGGAGTATTGTATGTTATGTTTTAAACCTGAACGCACGCAGGCATCTGTATACAATAAAAATCTCCCTAACATAAATCGTCTCAAGCTTGGCAAGAGAAGGCGCGAAAACAATAACGGAAGCAGGGTATCTGCGGAGGTTTAATGTGTCTTAAGGCCTTATAATGGAGTGGAACCTATTAATTGTTCCATTACAATATCGCCTTTCCGTGTGAACCCTGCTAATGATTTGCGGTCAAGCGAAAGTAGTTACGTTAGACGCACTGCACCAGTGATCAATTATACCAGCTCTTGAATTACGGGAAATTCAGTGTAAATTCATAATCGTCATAAGCAACGACTAGCCGTCGCGTCAAACCACACAACCGATGATCCACTTAGCTTAAGATTCAAGAGAGATTTTGGTGAGCAGTTTTTAGAACCTCTTAAAACTTAATAAGTTATTGTTTGCCTTTACAAAGTAATACTAGTGAAAATTCGCTTCTATTTTACACTGTTTTCCTCAAATATTGTCGTCACGGGCAAATCAGACTCACTGTTTTACCCTCAAATCAGGTCTTTTCTCCCCTTTTACATCGACCTCACCAAACACTTCGAGATCTAGATTTATAACTAATACATGAGTTAGGCGAGTTTTGTTTTGTTTGATCCAAATTGGTCTTCAGACTTGAGAGGTATCTGTTTCGCGGTGCAGAAGCCGGCGCTCTTGATTCAGGAACTTACAGTTAAAAGTAAGCTGCTTTTTTTTTTGTTCTTTATGTATTTCTCAGATGAGTTGAAACGCAATGACCATGACAGATAATCTAACGGCGGGGAACAGCTCAAAAGACGGCTCGAAGGACATGGCCGAAAATTCGTTCTACTACATTCGACTCTTGTGTTACGTGATTATCTTCATCGTCGGTGTCATTGGGAATATCCTGGTCTGTTTGGTGGTTTGTCGCCAGCGAAAAATGAAAAACGTCACCAACTATTTCATCTTCAACTTAGCCGTAAGCGATCTCTCCGTATTGCTGATATGCATTCCGTTTGACTTCGGTGAGATTGTAACTGGAGAGTTCCCTTACGGAGCTGTGATGTGCAGACTCATTTATCCTCTACAAACCATGGCTACAACAGCATCTGTTGGCACGCTTGTAGCCATTAGTCTGAATAGGTAAGTTGGTTTCATTTTCCTTTGTTTTTCTCGGACTGATTCATTTATTCCACAGGACCGATAACGAGCTGCGAGTGTTTGTTATTAATGACTTTCGTTTTGATCAGCTCCAAAGGTATACGAATCCTGTCGCTTACCTATAGTAGCACGACCTACTGTTTGTTGCTATCTAGATTTCAAAACTGAAGAGTGAATCAATTCATTTTTTGTTGAAATAAAACAACATGCCAAATGGTTCTAAATTCTGGGATTGCCGGAATAGCAACAAACAGCGGGATTGCCGCAATTGAGGTATCTCTGCGCGAGAAATGCAATGCCGACTGATGTATGGTTTGTTTTATCTCCTCGATAAAATGTTCTTTTATGTCAAACGGTTTTTTTTCTTTATTTTATTTTATTTTTTGCACCGGAAATATGCATGGGCGCTGGCTTGATTTATACGAAGGAAACGGTTTAATCAGCTGACAAAACTGACATATACTTAGATGAATATAATTACTGTTTGAGAAATACATCTTCGTGCATTTTCAGTAGCGATAGTTCTTGTAGTAGCTAAATGATCTTCTTTCTCTTTTCTTCTCGCTTCATTATAGCCACATGTATGTTATTTTTTTACTGTTTTTGTAGACGATAAAAATGCACACTAAGTGTTTGGCCTGCCTTCCTTATTCAATTAAGCTGAATAAGTGGAACGCTGCATTTATTGTTTGCAAAATTTGAAAGCAAACAGCACTTTCCTTGTTAAAGAAGCGTCACGGTTTTTGTCACCTAAAAAAGGTTTTACATTAAGTTCTATTACAAAGTAAAGGGACTATTCAACAGCATTTTCTAATGACTGTAATTACACGGCGACAGTCCATTAAAGGCTTTGAACAACAATAGATAAAGAACTATTTGTGACTTCTGAGAGCTGATAATGGGTAAATGATTCTTTATGCACTGTTAAAAGTCGTCACTGAAAATGTTTTAATCTGACTGAGAGATCATTTCTATACGATAGCAAGTTCTGTGGCCACGATATGCTCTTTTGTTTTAAAATCTGCAATTGAAACCTCTATTGGTGAAAACGAAGCACTTAAGACTCAAGTATTGTGAAGTACATTCATGTGGTACCGTTCAATGTCATAGACATTTCAATTTCATGTGTGGCTGTTTATAATGCTGCACAGGGTGCTTGTAACTTTTAAGTCAGTAGATTAAACCCTTGTGTGTGAGTGCGCCTGAAAAGTATTTGCTCGAGCTGCTGTACCTAAATCTCCTCCAACCTCTAAAACAAATGTTTTATACGTTTTAACCGTTAGCGTAAACAGCACGTTTGTAGTGCGGTTGCCGGTAGTTTTGAATCACTATTTTTTCCTTCTCAACCTTGAACATTTTGTAGTAGTGGGAGGGAAGATCAAAAGATTAATTTCGCCTCAAAACTGACCAAAACATGTTTTTACGCCTGAAAAGCTTGTTCGCCCACGTTGCATTCACGTACAAAGACGCACAAACATTGTTCAGTTATTGCATTTAGCTGACCAACCCACGCCGCACAAAAATTCAACAATATGTTCAAGTCGCTACAAGATATACAATCAGATTGTTTCTTCCTTTCAATGGATTTCCTTATCAGATTAGAGACTTCAGTATAAACAACTAAGATTTTTGATTAATCGTAATGCTCCTCGAGGCGAAATTTTAATCCGCTCTGCGGTGACAATGACATATTATCGCCCAGTTGCATTACTCAGCAAACACAAGCATCGATCGCAAGTGTGAGTTACAAAACAGCTAAAGAATTGACAAAATAATTTGGATATATCAACAAAGTTGAAATGGTAAATTGGCCACCGTAACGATTACAAAAGCTGACGTTTCGAGCGTTAGCCCTTCGTCGGAGCGAATCATTGACAAGTCTTGAATTTAAAACGAAACGGATTTCCAATTCGAAGTCCACTCGCATTGAACATATGAGTAATGAGTGATTAAAAAAAATATATTATTTCCAACCCTTGTAGAACAATGAACAGCAACTCTTCGGCGACTTATGTCCTGTTATCGCTACAGTAGGTTTTAAGCTTTGCTAAAGAACGTGTCGAAATATTCCATGTCTTTCTGATAGAATTGGTAGCGAAGTTTTCTTCATGTAAATTTTCTTTTCTGTTAGTGCTAGACATTTAGATCCTAAATGGCATACCGTGACGTACCTTATCTGTTCTCTTATTTCAATCTAGGATAACCCAGAACAGACTGTTTGATGTTTACATCGTCACAAAATCTGCTATCAAACCAAAATCAGAGCTTCGGTACAATTATTAACACGGGATTATACGAGTTACGGTCTTGTTATTTGTGATCTACCAAACGGTGTTGCGTATAGAACGGAATTCAATTTCAACTTAAAATACGAATCGTTTTTAAAACTGTAGCAGTCGAAGAGAGAAACAAAATTAAAGTTCTCGCACTGTGGGTAAGTGAAAATTACTGCAAATTTCTAAAATTTTTAGTCCGACTTTTGTGGTGTTTAAAAACTTGTTTTGTTTGAAACCCCTCTTGCTCTGATTTATAGGCAGGTTTTTCGCCATTAGTTGAAAAAAATTGTTGTTTTTTTTTTATACCTCGGTTGATCGGTTTCGATTGGTTACACGGGGAATAAATATTAAAGAATGGATACTTCGTCTGAAATCATTGAGAACAAAAGCTAAGAAAAATGCTTTTGTCTCATTTGCGTGAAAAATCACCGGCAGATCGAACAGTTGCCTTCCACAAAGAAAAAAGTGAAATAAAACTGTTGTCACTTCGCGGATGGTGCTCAGCTAAGGCGGAACCTCCTGACCTGTCGCGCGAGTCTTCAATTTCACGCACGCGCGCGGAACGCTTCATTACATCTGTAGCAGCAAAAACAACAACAGCTTTAAGGTGGCTCGTACCAGTTTCCTCGCGCGGGGAACAGATCACTCTTGCGTCACGCGCGAGAGAAACGTGCGAAGGAAGCGTGAGATTAAATTGTCCCTTTTAAACCTTCAGGTTCATGGCAGTTGTGTATCCACTCCGTCCACAGCTACACACTCGTGATGCCAAGAAGGTTATTGGGGTAATTTGGGTTTTTGCATTAGCTCTGGTGTCGCCATACATGGCCGTTTTGGAGATGGACGTCTCTGGTACTGAGTGCGACGAAGATTTCCAAGAGAAAGGACTGAAAGCTGGTGTTTATACCATTTCGATTTTCCTTCTGCAGTATCTCGTCCCGTTGTCAATCATTGGACTCTCGTATATAAGGTAAAGGAACAGTGCAATCAATTATTCATTCTATCTCATGATTACCTCCCTCGCGCACCCGACCGCGGAGTAGGTAGCCTCCATTTCTTTGTCCTCCCTCGTTCCTTACCTCCCTTCGTCTAGCCGTCCTTTTAACCCGCCAAAAACCGGAAAATTTGTGGCGGAGCGCGCGAGAAAACCCGCATGGAGTAACGCGTCTTCGTTCCTCGCGTGCGTTTTCGTTCCGGTGCACCGCTTCGTCCACGCGTGCCTCTTAAACGCGCAACTAACTTCCACTTTTCGTACTGATAGAATTGGCCGAGATCTTCGCCCGGACAAAAGGTCGTATTCAAACTATGCCCTACAGCGCGACCAGGAAAAAGAAGCGCATAAAGTGATGAAGATTCTCACCGTTGTTGTAATAGTGTTTGCTCTGCTGATGCTTCCCAATCACATTTTCTTCTTGTGGCTCGACTTTGGTAATGGAGGTAAGTGATGAAAGTAAAAAACGTTTTGAATACTCGCGTTCTTAAGGCATTAGTTGTACGCAGAGGTTTGTCATGTGTATTTTAGGTCAGATGCATTGAGTGTTCCTCATTTTGCCGTCAAAGCCCTGCACACTAAAATTTTCATGAAAGTTTCATGTTCCTGGCTGTTCATTTTCTGTAAAAATCTTGTAAACGACAAGACTCATTTGTGTGTCACGTTCTCCGTTTTCTTTAATTCTTCCTTTTTCTCACTTGTCCTCACATCTTTTACCTTTCCGCACTCCACGACCTCAATCATTCTATTGTCGCCTTTTACTTCCCCGTCATTCCTTCTCTAACACTATCTGTACCTTTTTTCTCCATTCCTTTACCTTCGACTTGTCATTCATTATACTCCCAGGCTTCCCACTTGGGAATTTCCCGCTAAATTTGCGGCGATTGCTTTGCCAGGTTTTACATTTTTTCTGTCAACAGACAGACACCCTAATGCTACTGGTATCATGCAGTTCTGTCAGATTTGTGTTTACGCAAACAGCGCCGCCAATCCGCTCATTTACAACGCTGTAAACGAACAATTCCGGGAGGGCTTCAAAACATATTTCCGCTCGTGGATTGAGTGCGTCCTCAAGATCAAAGGCAGCAATAGAAGAGAGGACCTAAATGTGGCCAACCGACAGAATGGGGCCAAACCCACGACGAGTTGCACTATCTGCAGCGGGAGCAGTGATACATCCCTAAATGGAACTCTTCACTCACAGAAGCAACAGTTACAAGTCAATAATAATGCCACGGCTGAAGTCTCGATGAACGGGACGACAGATGGTAAGGTCTTAATTGTAACTGAGTCGGACAGAGTGGAGGAACATGCAGAGTTGTTAACATCCGTGTAAAAAGAAGGTCGTACCCCCCCTCCCCCCCCCTAGATAAAATGTGTTTGTAGCGCACAGGAGCGAGTTGCTAGTTCAAGGACACTGGTGGTTACAATGAGCAAGAGGAGCGTGTTTTGTTGTGTGAAAATTATCATGAAAATTCACATGTTTGAGGGTTATCCAGCTGGTCACGTCACGGCTAAGACTTTGAGGGTCTTTGAACCAAACGTTGCCTTTCTTTTACGCGCGATAGGAAACTATTGGTCAAAGCTTAAGTAAAACTTGGATGAAGCTCTGAGAATTGAGTGGAATAGTTGTCTAACAAAGAACCTTATTAAATCAGATTTATTTAAACTAGAAGACGGTTTTCCCCGACCTATGTAGGCCACAAAGAGATATGGGGCGAAAGTTCGTGGTCAAGAAACTAATCTCTATTTCTAATGTACATAGCTATGAACTCTGTGAATTTAGACAAACCCAAGACAGGTGCATGGCCTTTCACGTGCTTCCTACGTGGATAGACATTAAGTTCTACCCAAGTGCACTATACATCACGTGTTAACACACGTGCATTGCACATCAATGTAACATTTCTCTGCTTGTGATAAACAAGTAAAAATAATTTCTAAAGGAGATCTTTATTTCAGAAACCACACGACTTTTATTATTTTATTGGTACTATTTATTAGAAAAGGAAAAAAATTATCTGATGTCCGGAGACTGCACTTCCCCTCTGACTGGAACGATAAAGCTGACTTCAAAAGTTCTCCAGGACAGCTTTGACAAATTCACGTCTTGACTTAAGTATCTTACAGTTGATAATACTGAACCTTAAAGTGTCCATACGGCCAAAAGGGTTTTTATTGTTTTGTACTTCTTTAACCTGTAAAAAAGTATTCTCAAAAAAAAATTTGATTCTGACGCCTCTTCACCCTAAAATCGAGCTTTATAGTTCCCGCTTCTGCCACGCCCAATGAAGTTGACCGCGTAAGGGAAGATTGGTGATGAGCGACGTCACTCCAGGAGCGTCTCGAGCGTCGTGTTGTTACTTTGCTTGACAAAGCAGTACTTTTACAACACATCTATCGGGCATATGTCGCCGAAAACTCTTTACCTCACTGAAAAAAAAACAGTGAAATGAACCACGGGCGGGATTTGGCGCGTTCCTGATTTGACGTCACGACCCATTCTGAACCCAATCTCTTTTTTGCCCCGACTCACGGTCACCTTCAATGGGCGTGGCCAAAGCGGGAAGTTTAAAGCTCGATTTCAGGGCGAAGACTCGTCAGAATCCAATTTTATTTAAGAATACTTTTTTTACATGTTAATAAATACATACCAAAACTATAAAAACCCTGTTGGCCGTATAGTCACTTTAAGCCAAGGCTGTAGTCTAGCAGTGCCCAGTGGCCCCTGGCACCTTACTTTTGCTCTTGGGTGACTCAGGAATTTTAGTTTTTTCACACAAAGCATATGCTGGGCACCCTAGATTTCACAGTTTCAGAGCACTGGGCTCCATTCAATTTTCCTTAGAGCACAGCCTGGCCTTAAGCCAATACCTCTATTTAGTTTAAATACTTATTTACTAATCACAGCAATTTCATTATTCCTTTTGGCAATTTTGTAGTGCATGCCCTAAAGAAATACTATTAAAACAAAAAAATACCATTTATTGCTGAATTTTGAACTATATTACAATTTTATGAGTACTTAAAAATCTGCTTAAGTTGCAAGGGAACTTTCCAATCTGTAACATTATTTACTACAAACTTGCACCTCGAAGATAGCAAACTTCAAATAAACAGCAGAAAACAGTATCAGTATTTACTTTTCTCTGGGTACATTTGTAAGGACTTCATTCTTCTGCTCTCTCACCACTTGCACTACCAGGTATGGTTTGAATGTAGCACCTTTTAAGTAGAGGGAAAAGGGGACAATGAAAGGGCACCCCCCCCTCCCTTCTCCAATTCTCCAACCCAACTTCCTTAGCCTCAACCAAAGTCTGGTGCATCCTTGTAACTTCTCTATAATTTCATAATTTGGTTAAATCAATCAAGTTGAAATAGTAAGTTGGCCACCATAAAAAGTTAAAAGCTGATGTTTCGAGCGTTTGCTCTGATGAAGGTCTATTGCTTGAAAGGTCAGCTTTTTAACTCTGCAGTGGCCAGTTTATTATTTCAACTTAGTTAATAAAACCAAATTATCTTGTTACCCCCACTGACGCAGCCCCACATTTTCTTTAGAAACGTATCCCATTCATTCATTTCTCTATAATTTTGTTAAGTTCTGCTCAGAGAGAGGTATGGTGAGATTTCAAGGGGGCTATTCAAAGATTTACAGTTTCTTTATATCGTTTCATCCATTCTATGCCTGAAGAAGAATGCATACTTTGCAAACACACCTCGTTTGAGGCTTACATTAAACTATGTTTCCCTCCTATGGTTTCACCACTTTAAAAAGTTATCTTCAATAGCGGCGTGGATCATCTAAGCCAAGCTCTTCAACAACAAAACCATCCTCACCAACTGGTTTGTCAAGTTTTATACCATACTCAGTGGCTTGACGAAATCTCTCTTCCTCCAGAAAGGCTCTTGATTGGTCATCATACTCTGGCCCTAGAGTCCAAAGCTTCTCCAGTTCATACACCTCCCGCACTTCAGGAAGAAAGAAGTGCACAACAATGTTACCTGCAAAAGAAAAGTAAATGTTTGCAAAATTCGTTCACTGTGGTTTATGGAGCACCTCTGTGTTTAGCCTGTTCCAGACACTCAGCAAGTGAAACAAACTGCATGAGTAATGCACCAATCAGTTTGATGATTGAAATCCCCCCTCCCCCCCCACTCACAAGTAGCCTGCAGAGACAGAATTTTGACAAGCAAGTGCTCAGGTATTTTCTTAGTGAAAATTATGGCCACAATCTTTTATTTTAATGGCAGTGGAAGGCTGGGGAGAGAAAGAAATTTGTATTGGGGAGTGAACAATGGTCAAAAATAAGGGTGGGGTGGGGGTGGGGAGTGAATATTACGCCTTTCACCCCCCACTGTCACCTCCATCATCCATCTCCTAATCAAACATGGCTGGTTGAAAAAACAATTGGGAGATTTTTAATGTTAACTCTCCCTATTAAGATGCCTGCACTGCAGGCCACACACAGGCAATCCATGGGCATTTGACTGTCCTCCATGCCTAGCGGGTGGGGAATTTGAGCCTTGCCAGGGTGGGGTGAGGCATTTGAACTAGAAATGTCAAGTGTTTCCAGTGCAATACACATGTTTTAATGGAGGAATGAATTTAAAGGAAAAGAGTCTACTTTTATGAGCAAATGGCTAAGAAAGAAAATTTCCACAAAGTAGAATGAGCTTTGTACTGATCAACACATAGTAGTAGAGGAGTGGAAAAGGAGGGAGGTCTGGGTCATATCTCGAAAAAGAAAAAAAAGAAGCCACTGAATTCTGAACATGTTGTTGACTCTCCTCATACCAAGTGCCTGCTGAAAGTCTGCCACTCTAAAATTCAAAGGTTTAGCTATAAACACAGCATGACCATTCTTACCTATATCTAAGGCTACCCAGTGATTACTCTCCATTCCTTCTACCACAGGATACCCACCTTTTCCAATGCCTTGTAACATTTTACCTCTGAACTGCAACAGATGGACTCATGTTAAACATAAAGGAAAGATTTCTGTATAACCCCATACCAATAAAAAAAAACAAAGCCGAAGTCCCAAAGGTAATCCATTGTTTTGTCTGTTTTTTTTTATCCAAGAGTTGTATGGGATTATACAGAAATCTTGCCAAAATAAATCATCCACACTGACCCTTTCGCCCCCAGAACTGATTGGCATCTTAGTTCTCCATACATAATCACTGTTGAATTGAACACTATGTCCATGAGAACGAGGTGAATGATCACCCCCACCAGAGAACCTCTTGATCGTTGAATGTATTCTCTAAATCACTAACGTAGGAAATGTATGGAGGATGGTATCACAAATATACTTAATAATTTTGGCATTTAAAGGTTACGACTAATTCCATCACCAGTGGCTGTTTAAGTGAAAAATTCTTGCAAGCAACAAGCCTCAGCTGCAAGCTCCAGTTCCGTGTCATGAGTGTCTGCTTACATGAGCTCAACTTCAGGTGTACCTGACTTATTCCTGGGGTCTTTTGCTTCCTTCCCCAATATCGGTATGCAAATTCTCTATAATGTTCTCTAATGACCCTGACCCAAATATTCTCCCATCCAACCCTTCCTTCCACTCAGGTAATAAGCACATATTATTACACGACTCGGGCAGTCAGAGGGCCAATAACTAAAATCAACCAATCAAAATGCTCTATTGCTGGTCCAATATTCTCTAATTATTGGACCGGGCACTGTCCCGAATGGTCCCGAATGATACCGCACTTGTGTCCCTTTGAACTTCAGTCGTGTAATAAATCTCTTATTAACCAAGCTTGCTCGGGACCGTACTGGAAGAATATCAGCCCTTGGTCTTTTATGTACAGACCGAGCGCAGCGAGGTCCGTACTGTCAAGACCTCAGGCCGATATTCTCCCAGTAGGCCCTCACGCTTTGTTGATGAGATATGTATATTGGCCTACCAGTTGTTCCAGATTTTTCGCCATTGCCCTGATATGTCTTGTAGAGACACCGCTAACAACAACGAAGTAGTCTACATAATTTTGCCTGATTCCTCTTGTTTTGATCACACAAATATCCACCGCACTCTCTCTTTTAAGGAAGTCTACGAGGTCTTCCACATTCATATAACCATTTTGATCTAGTTGGTACTGTTTAACTGTTGCACGAGGCTCCGTTTGCTTGTGTGGGATATCAACATCTTCTTCGTAAAATTCTGAATTCAATTGAGAAATGATCGTCCCTTTGTCCTTTACACTGGCACTTGTTTCTTCGTCAATCGATATACTGCTTTCTTGAAGAAGACGGTATGCAGTGCTAATACATCGAAATGAAGGTTTGAAGAATCTTTCCTTTGAAGCAAAAAAATTGTAATAGTTGTGAACTGGAGGTTCGTAAAGTTTGGCGGATCCAAAATTCCTAGAGACGTTTGACGAACAAAGACCAAAATTGAGCCGTGTATTTAAGACATAAAACGTTCTTGCGTGAAAAAAAAGTGTAAACCTCCGCAAGGACATGACTTGAACAGCTAATTCAAGCTAGCACATGCATCCTTCATCCGCCATCTTAGAAATCTGTGCCTCGTTTCGAGGCAGTCAATTTTATACGGAGTAGCGGTACGGCAAGGAGACGTCAGAGACTCGCTGAGTAGGGGTTGAAAATATTGTAAGGGACTGAGGGGCTGAGTGAAAGGGTAGTAGAAAGCTAAAGAAAGAATCCAAGGAAAATCCACCCCTGTGACACCCAAGTAGGGGATAAGTGGGGATAGGTTGAAGGGATCCAAGGAAAATCCACCCTTGCGACACCCAAGTAGGGGATAAGTGGGGATAGGTTGGTTAGAGATTTTGTTCAAACCAGCTTCTCTGTAAGAATTTGGTATTTTCCACAGGGCAGACTGATGTAGTTTTATCATTAATTAACATTTGTCACCTAAGATAACAAATGTTGTCATTATTACTTAGGATCAGATTCACCCAAAGGACCTCTCTTCCTTGAACCAGTCACACAGCTTCCAATTAATTCTTATCCTTAAATCTAATTGATAGATCTGGGGTTACCCCAGTGAACAAAGGACCTTTGAAGTTGTTTTGGTTTTTTGTTAGCGTTAACTGACCCTTTGGGCTATTTTGTTTTAACATTTTCTTTTTCTTTGTTCTACATCACTTATGAAAGTGACAGATTCTTAAATCAGGGACGATCCAAAGATCACAATCATTCTCTCCTCTACGCATCTGTGTGAAAGTTACAGTAGAGTGTTTCTACAATGAGAAGAGCAACACTGATAACTTTGTCTTAATCATAAAATGTTCGCAAAATTACAAATCACAATGTATTTATGACTAAACCAAGGAGACTAGCTGTGAGACATTTGGACACAAGCCACTAAGAAAAAGACTACTATAAAACAGTTGAAAATAAATAGTTTAATACTGGTGAAAATTAATATTTCTGTACAACAATGCAGTCTTTACAATCTTAGTATTTCCCTCATATATAAACTAACAATCTAGATTAGCCATCTATGATTACCAAAATGCTGGAGCAGGAGAAGAAGAAAAAAAAAATAGGCAAAGAGGTTGAATGAATAACAAAATCTTGCAGCTGAAATTTTACACAATTTCATATGCATTTTAAATGAATGCATCCCTGAAACCAATCATTTTGTCCACTCACTGGAAATTATCCTGCCATTTTTAGCTGTCATTTAAACTATAAGATTAGAGTAACTGAAAGAAAAAGATTATTTCATTCACAAGTAATAACCAGAAGGTTAAAACTGGTCTGGTTGCAAAATATTATAACCAATCTGACCAAAATAAAAAGAAATAGAGTGTGCTCAATTGTATCAATTTAGACACATGCATAACAGCATACTATTTAAATGAAACTTTCCTCTTGTCAGGAAATTAAGAATTGAACAGGCCTCATGAGCAGGCAATACATAAACAGTACAAGCAGTATAAATATAAATATTATTTTTTAAGCATAAACTAAATTGAGCGATTACAAATTTAAGAACTTCAATTAATTACGTAGAAAAGATTAACATATTCAGTAATATAACCTATTTAGCCACACTTGCTTTCCCTATCAAAATCTGAAATATCCCATTAAAATGGTTTTAATAAATAGTTACTCAGCATTTTATATTTCTGTCATCATGTCGCAAATCTCCTCGTCCATTCCTTGGCAATCCTGTCATGTTCTTCTCTGTCATTGACATATTGTGTTGCAATGCTTCCAACAAGTGGGTCACCTGAGAAAATAAATTGCATCTAGTACAATATTGTCTATCAGAGCTTATAAATTATTCTATTTGCATGAAAAAAAATCAAATTGATGCAGACTTGAAAACTAGTCAATCTAATTAATTCAATTCCTCTCTTTCATGTTTAAAACTAAAAAATTACTTGTAACAAAGATTTGAAAACAATGTAGTGTAAATGATCAGGCTTGCGTGGGAGTGAATTTTCAGCAAAGTACATAAAAATACTCTCTTAAAATAAATATCCAATAGCAAGTTGATAATTATATTTATTACACGACTCGGGCAGTCAGAGGGCCAATAACTAAAATCAACCAATCAAAATGCTCTATTGCCGGTCCAATATTCTCTAAGTATTGGACCGGGCACTGTCCCAAATGGTCCCGAATGATACCGCACTTGTGTCCCTTTGAACTTCAGTCGTATAATAAATCTCTTATCAACCAAGCTTGCTCGGGACCGTACTGGAAGAATATCGGCCCTCAATCTTTTTTGTATGGACCTTGCTGCGCTTGGTCCATACTGTCAAGACCTCGGGCCGATATTCTCCCAGTACGGCCCTCGCGCTTGGTTAATAAGATATATAACTACACATACCTGGATTGCAGTCTGTCAGAAGTGAGCAGACAGAAAGAAGAACTTTGGAAATGGTCAGAGCTGGACTCCAGTTATCTTTTAAAATATCCAGACAAATCACTCCCTAAAAGACAATATTTATAAACAATTAAAAAAAAAAATACATGTACCACCTTAAAACTTGAAATGTTCAGTACCAAATATTAAACTTTTTGTTACTTTTAGAAGCAATTCAGGGGCAAAACAAAAATTCACTTATTAGATAAACAAGAAAAGCAATTAATTTACCCTTTAGCCCTGAAGAGTGACTAACATCGAATTTCTCCTTACAATATCACCCCTGAATCACACAGTAAGGTCACAAGAATATAATGGAAATGATCACCAAGTAAAGAAGCTCTTGTTTGTTAAACAAATTCTCCTTGTCAGCACCTTAGGAAATGTATAGAGAACAGTATGGAGAATATACAAAATGATGTTTGGGTGTACAGGTTAAAATATGTGCATTCCTTAAAATGAGTTTGTTTGATCTGTTACCTGGCTGTTTATATTGCAGTGGTAAATGCGAGTTCTAAAGGTGACCTATAACATTAAAAATAAAAGAGAATTAAGTTATACTCATACAATAGAAGCATAAAAAACATCAACAATTTAAGGCCTTACACTCTGTGGAAGATCTCAATAGCAGTTCTCCATACTGACCTTTATACAATTTTTATGATGTTAGTTTGGAGAATTTGGTATTGGATCAACTTATAATAATCCCCTAATTGATACTTTTTCTTTATTCCCATATCACTTGTCTGCTTGATATTGATATCTCCTGCATCTGTTAATTAGTTAATTTGGTTAGGCAGGGGATGTTAAAGAACCCACTCACGAGATTACTGTTATGTGGTCTCGCCTATTTATTGGGAATTGGGGGGGGGGGGGAAGGGGGCATCTTCAAATAAGTTTCCTTCGATTGTTTGTAAACTGCTGATGTAGTCTGGCCAAAGTCCCCCGAAAAGTGGTAATTTGATGCGCATTTGATCATATCCATATGTTAATTTGTGTAATATAAATATTAAATTATTATTATTATTATTATTATTAGATACCGTAAGAAATTCTGTCTTGGTCATTCATGGGAGTTATAGGAATAAAAAAAGAATTTATTACCTTTGGTGGTTTAAAAGGATATTCAGATGAAAACTGAATATCAAGGAAAAATACACCTCCTTCATACACAGATCCTTGGGGACCAAGGATCGTTGAATGCCACTCATACAGATTGTCCCCCTTTGGGCCCGCACTATATACAACACAGAAAAATGTAAAAATAGATCAGTTTTGGTATGCTTGTCATTAATTAAATGCTTGACAACCTACATCTATAACATGTCACATTAACCTTTCATTGTGTAAGGGTCTCATGATTCTGAATTATCTGTTCTGGGTTAGTTTACATTTTCATTGTAGTTCTATAGCCTTGCAAATGGTTTCGTCTTTTGTATTTTCTTTTTACTGTTAGTTAACTCTTAGACTTACCCTTCTACGTGACCAATTTAAGCCAAGTGTCGAAAATGTGGAGAAAGCTGTATTACATCTCCCTATTAAGTCTATTCATTTGATTTTATGATTATGTTACAACGCTTCGGTCAACTCCCACTCACAGCTCTTCACTTATTCCAATAAAAGGACACAAAAACTAATTAACATATCATACAGTTTCCAACTCAAGGTTAACTTTAAATCCTAGATTAGCGTTAATCCCCTTTCACACAACCCAGCCCTACTTTGTGTGAAGGAATGGCAATCACACATGACAAACCTTTGAAGAAGACCTTGTAGTTAAAATTTTCTCTTGGATGTTTTTTTTTTTTTTAACAGTTTGAATTACTTGTATAAATTCCTTATATGAAATTATATAATCATAATTTATATTGGCCATAGAATGAAAAAAAAATCAGACAAAAAAAGAGTTTAAACCAAAACAGATAAAAAACTTAAACCAACTGCTACAAACAAAAATGATTCGCAAATTCTACAAATTCTACATATCAAACTAAAAATTATGAGCTCCTCAGCAATGCTATAATCAGGACTTGTCTCGACAAAGTTAAGAATATTATCTTTTACTTGATTATCATAAATGGTTGACATGTTTTTGTGTGATTTGATCGAGATGCAATTAAACCTAATTTTGGAAAGTTATTGATTTATACCAGAAAATTTTTGAATGGAAATATTGGAATACAAAAGATTGCACCAACTATAATTAAAATTTTACATCAAAAGGAATTTAATAATCACATATTGGACTCAAGAGAAAATCAGTGATTTGTAGCATTATATGCAAAAAAAACATGGGAAATTATCAAATATTAGTTTTTGTTCAGAAACATTAATTGACCTCGGCATTAAAATAAATATTGCTTTAGTACTTTGTGAATTTTGTATTGAAATACCTCAATTATTTCAAACATAGTTAAAATTCTATCACGCCACAATTATCCCACGTGTTTTACAGGAATTAATTCGTCTGACATTCCTAAGACTATAATACCTAGCTAAATCCCGTATGAAGGAAAATAACTTATCCAGATTCTTTCAGTTTTAATCAGCTGTTTAAGTGGTGTGTATCAGACACGTTAATTTGTAAACAATCAACGCCATTCCTCCTTCGCAATCGTTCTTTCAACACGGAAAATGTTAACTGCGACTGCAGCCTAAATCTCGAAAGCGTATTAACAAATCTTTTACCTGCAGTTAGGTGGCGGTTCAAGCGTTATTTCAGCCAGTTCTCGTTGAATCCTGTCCGAAATTGGAAACAAAGAACTCAGATTTACCAGTAACAGAAGGATGAAAGTTAGAAGAAGTGTTTGTTATTGTAAATTGATGTGCTGCTCGAATAACTTACAACAGGAAACCGAGATTAGATCTTTCAATTGCGGAATAGATTAAACCAATCTCTAGAGAAAGGAGTTTCTCTGGTATTTTCATGACAAACCTGCAGGCTGAAAACTTAAAGCTTACCGAATACTCACGCGACAGGTCTTCTCGTTAGACGAAGACGAACTCTTTCAATCCCCAAGTAACTCATAACTTAACCGACCGTAAAGCCCTCCTATATTAGATACAACCTAAATTCCTTCTACCTTGAATACACCTCTTAGACTGGTAACAACACTCCTAAATGATGATGATTATACCTCTTCGCTGCCCCGCTCAGTGTCTTTGGTGGTCTACTTGGGGCGATCTTAATTTCTTTTCGGATTTGCGTTCCCCGGTTCCTTTGTTCATTTCCTGCTTCAGTTGCCGGGCCTGGTATGTTCCTTGTATTTTGATCGGCCATTTTTAAGGGCTACGCAGCCTGTCAAAGAAGAGCGATTGTCATAACGAAGGACTGCGAAGGTCAGAAAAATCTCAGTGAATATTCGGGATTCCCGGCGAAGGGGCGGTAATTTTAGACAAGCGGTTCAATCACAGCGGGGGATTATCTAGACAAGAAGGCTGGATTCTTTTCAAATTGTACATTAACTGGAAGCAAAAAGTACAAGATTTCATCTGTGTTAATGTTTGTTAGAAAAGACTTCGACATGCCTGAATTTGTGGGGAAAAAAATTACATTTAGGATAAAACTGGTATCTTAATGTTCATTAACCTACGAGCACGAAACGTCGAGTACATGTATGATCTCACTTGGGTTTTCCTCTTAGCTATCAAAAACCCAAGCAGTGATCCTTCTAAATGAAGTACTTACAAATGCAGTATAGTCTGAAGAATGTGTCAGCTCAAATGCAGGCCAATCAGTCTTCTCGAAAGGCCAATATATGAGTTCAAAGTTAAGCAGATCGGCCAGGTGGTTAGATTGTAGACAAGACAAGTACCGAGCTCTCCGGCAGTTCGCGTCTCACCAGTCGGGAGAATGAATGCAATTGAAAACACGATGAGGACGAAAGCAGCTCTTGAAGTGAACAGCTTGAGTGCTTAATTCAGTTCTTCGTATCCCAAGCTCAAGTTCTTCCTAGTGTGTGAAGAATAAGGACTTACTCTCATCCCTTGCAGAAAGGCCGATGAAGAAGATCACGCCAGGTGATATTCAGCTGAGAGTCCTTCTAGCATCGAAATCATCAAATAACATTCGCCAAATTATGAAATGACTTCTTGCTAAAAGAGCCAGTAGTTTATCTCTTTAGACGTCTCAGCAAGGGATCAAAACTTGAAATAACACGACGGCATATACTTCCACAAGTGATATCGAAATAGTGTCTCAAAAAGAACAAAGAACCTTGCTCCCTTGGGAATAAGAACTAATCATGTGAAATACTCAGGGGAATTGGATTGAGACAGGAGTCCATAGGCTCTTGATTGAGAAGAACTGGTAACGAGAAGCACAGTCTGCCCATCCACGATCATGAGTCTTATGACAGAATTATCAAAATAAATTGAAAAGGTGAATGAGTGGATAATCGAAAATAATAAACTTATCATCAGCAAACATGGTGGAGTTGAACTTACAATGCCATATTTCTCTCTCAAAAAAGAAAGATTTTATAGAAGACTTTAGGTCGATCCACATATGCATTTTCTTTTAGTTTCGCTTGAAAAAATAGTGTCCTGTATACTTTGACCTCCCCTTTGGAAAGTGAAAGACTCTAAAGTTTGACCATCTGAGAATAGAGCCAGCTCTTGGAGCTATTATTAAAATTTAAGATCTCTCCATTCTCCCCCACCCCCCCATACTTAAACGTCCCTATTAAATGTGTCATCAGATTGCTGAATGTGAGTTATGCTGTCGTTACAACCTTATGTGTGAAACAAAACGTTTCTCCTGGTGTTTTGTTTTTGTTTTTGTTTTTTTTTTAATCTACGATGCATGTAGACTCTCTCCTAGTGAATTATTTTGCAAATTTTACTTCATATTTCAAAATGCAATAGATTTGCACTTCAATATACGTCATCGATTTTGTCATTTACTTTACGAATGATTATTTTTTTTTACTCCGAGGTTTTCGTGAGCATATTTATTTTCGCATCATTAGTTTTGGTATGACACACCAACGCAGCCATGATGGTTTAAGAAATGAATCCCTTTCATTCGCTTTGAAGTACGTACGGATAAAAATATCGGATTATTCATCTGGAACTTTCGCTCTGACAGCCTTTATTTGCACCAGACCGCGCGAAGAAACTGGGACTAGCAATGTCGCAAGAAAATATGGCGGACGTAGAAATTAAAACAAGCGATGGAGAAAATTCGCCGGAAAAAAGGGAAACAGATGAGCAAATGAACGTAGATCAAGAGCCTGAATTAGACAAGTAAGATTATAGCTGGAAAGGAGAAGCTTTAAAACCCAATTTTACCGCATATACTTTTGTTTGGTGTGTTATTTTGTTGTAGTTTTGCGAAGGCTGATGCTAAAAAACAAGAAGGAAACAGTGAATATATCCAGAAACGCTATGAAGCTGCCGTTAAATTGTACACGGAAGCTATAGGTATACTAGATATTACTATTTTCTGGTTTCTTTACCATGGAATACCAAGGTAACTGTTATTACTTTGGTCTCAATGGTTTATTTGTAATACAGAACTGTTGCGATTTTTGGCCATGTGATTCTTCCAGAGAAACTAAAAGTTCTTGTTTCATGTGAAAGGTAAAAATCATTTTCGCACAAATTTATTATACAGATAGATTTTTTTTCAACCTGTCTTGATTTCAATCTGTTGATTGCAATAGAGTTTACTTGCTAAGACGTCTAAGGGCTGGAAATTCGAATCCTTACAATTCGCCGGCTCTCCGATCTCTGAACAGGAAGCGGCCAAAATTTAATCGGGCGTCGTTCAAATATCGTTATCATTTTATTTCATTTTATTGGTAACTTAGTACATTTATCACAGCAGTTTGAAGACTCTTCCCAGCGCTTTCATACTGAATTTTCTGTTAAGTGATATATTTCTTCCTCAGAAACATCAATAAAATTGCAACGTGGCCAGTTTGGCAAGGTTCTTCAAGGTTACATAATTCTTGTTTAAATAACTTGGTTTTATCGACTGAGTAAATGTAAACTGGCAACTTCAAAGAGTTTCTAAAACTGACGTTTTGAGCATGAATCCTTCCTCATTCACTCTGACAAAGGGCTAATACTTGAAATGTCAGCTTTAGAAGTTCTGTACCTTGGCCAGTTTATATTGTCAACTCAGTTGAATAAAACCAAATTATCTTGTAATACCTCCACCAATGCAGCACCACAGTTTCTTTAGAAATTTACCCTATCACAAGTTACATACTTGTAGAGCAACCAGAATGTAAGAAATGAATGGTAGTCGTTGTTGTATTGAAGAAATTTACAAATGACACATTGGATGCACAGCTGATTATCAGTCAAACTGTCCACTGAGTTTATAACTACCACCTATTGTTCCAGGTTATAATAAAATTCCAATTTTCATTTGTTTAAGAGCTGGCTCCCACCTTAGTTACATATTATGGGAATCGTTCAGCAGCATACATGATGATTGGGAATTATGACAAGGCTTTAGAAGATGCTCAGACTGCCATCAAGACTGATGAGAACTTTATGAAGGTTGGTTAATATCTTAATATTATTCTAATACAGGGTTCTCATTAAGTGACAGCAGCCGGCTAAAAAACCGGCTACCTTAAATTTAGAGCCGCCTACTTTTCGGTGACAAGCTTGCCTCCTTATTTTGTATCTACACGTAGATTTCAAAGTTAAAAATCGCGTGAATCGAACGAGTAATACTCGAAAGCTGTTTTCAGCAGCAAAACGTATTACACAATGCCAATGCACGCCTTCTACCCTCTGGGAAATTCTGCTGACCAATGTCTGTTGTCAACAAGTGCGGTGTGGCATTCGGCGTGTTAGAAGAAGGCATGAAATGGCGTTCGGCATGTTCGAAGAAGGCATGAAATCTTAGTATGTAATTAATTATAGAGTACCCATGTGTAAAAGAAAACCCACTTCAAGCCAGCCTGGAATTGATCGATATTTCTGTAAATCACGAAGAATGGAAAGCCAGGTAGATGAAGGTGAGAAAACTACTGCCCTTTTTGGGGTGTAGTCTGGTCCCATTATTAGGATTCCAAGAAAAGAAAGATGTTCAGTAAAGTTTATGGTTGTCTCTAATAAAAAAATTATTTCTTAAAACCAAATTTGTTTGCCAAAAGGCTCAAAATGGCAAATCTAACCTTCTATATTTTGAAGTTTTTCGGAGGAGGAGAGGGGGCATGCTGCCAGACCCCCTTAGAGGCTCATGCCTGTGGTACTCGCTTCTCCCGCCGTCTACTTTTATGTTTCAGCCGTCTACATCAAAACTTATTGAGAACCCTGCTAATAATATCTTAATAATCAGCTGTTTGTTTTAACAAGTTTTACTCTGACAAGTCGTAAAATTCCACTGAGAAGCAACTCTTCAACAAAGTTTACATTTCATGCTGTCAACTTAGGCAATGAATTATCACTCACTCAGTGGGGTCACATGGTAGTGCCATAAGTGCACTTGTTTCTCTAATATAGAATCCCATTACTGAATATAATTTCTCATTCTGATTGGTTAAGCAAGCGAGATATTTAGCGTGGAATTGCGTTTTGAAAACAAGGCTAAGTGATATTGTTTTGCATCTATGTAGACATAACAACTATAAGTAATGCTGTTTTCTTTTTTTCTTGTTTTAATTCAATTATGTGATTCAAGGAATATCATTACTTGACTTGTGAATTCCACGTTAAATTGCACTTGAAAACCGATATTGCACTCATCGCTTCTTGATTCGTGCGATATCAGTTTTCGCGTGCAATTTAATGTGGAATTCCCTCATCAAGTAATGAATTTTCGTATAGAATTTCTTAACAAAATAAGCAATAAAAATGAATTGCATTTCAACCTCTAAAAGGTCATTATAAACTTGAAAATGACCTTCCAGAGGTTGAAAAGTCATTTCTTTTTTTGCTGATTTTTTATGAATATTGCTTAAGATAAAGGTACAACAAATATCTTGCCATCACCTTGGGCATTCCACTGTCAATCAGCAGGATCACATGATAATCTGATCAATGGAGTTCTTCCTCCTCTGATACAGATTTTGTAATGTAAATTAGCAATAAAATGAACAAAGTTTTGACCTTTCCAAGGTCATTATAAAATTGAAATTGACCTTGCAAAAGTCAAAACATCATCCCTTTTTATTGCTAATTTTTAATGAATGATATAATTGCTGGAGAATGTAATGACATCAGGTTACAGGTTATTGGTTTTGTTCTTCCTTCCTGGGAAGAAAAGTTTTGGAAAGATCTTTTTTTGGTGGATGACAGAAATAACAATACTGCCTTTTCATAATCTTCTGCTTGGTTCAGCTGAGAATCTAGAAGGATTACAGAATTTCTATTTTAAACTAGTAAAGAGAAATCTGTGTATTTCTGATTTTTGATATGACTTGTATGCAGTAAATAGAGAAAACGGGTGCAAAATCCATGTGAAATTTAATAATTTCTAGCTGGGTTTGATATTTTTGCAAAAACAAAAAAAAAGTGTTTTTAAGTTTCCAATTCAGTTTACTTACAAGGTAGATACATCTGGGTTAAAAGTGTTATCAATCTGATAAGAACCTTTGAATTCTTAGCTACCGGTGAAAAATATTATGGATGAAGGACATTGCAATGAATGTCAAAAATTTTTTCTTAGTTGAAACAACAAATTCTTGTATTGACATACAGACATACTTTATTGAGACTCAGCTTTCCAGTCACAACTGTTATTATAATAGAAAGTGTAGAAATCAGTTAAAAGAATTTCCTTCCAAAGTTTGGACTTTGTAAAATTTCTTCTTTCAAAGGGTTATTCGAGAGCTGCTAAATGTCACCTTGTCATGGGATCCATTGGAAATGCTGTAAACTATCTGCAAAAGGTTCTTGAGAAAGATCCAGAAAATAAAGATGCTCAAAACGATGTAAGTTCATGGTTTGTAAGAATGTACTGTGGTGTGTCATAATCATGAACCCTGTGGAACTTGACAGAAAGGTTATACCATAGGCTCAGGGCATTTAAACAATAGCCCCATTTGGTGCCAAAATTTGCTTGGATTTTTGTCCATAGAGATTATCTGTTCCAAGAAGGGAACAGTTTCCTGAGCGCAAAGCTTTGAGAAAACTGTGAGCTTTGAGGTTAGTTATTTTCTAGAATATTAGAATAGTATATTAAATTGACTTGCTAGGAAGATTAAACCTCGACCCTTAAACTCAAAGGATCTGATTGTTAATTCTCCCCTCTGGCTGCTACACATTTCTTTGTAAATTTGTCACAAGAATTTGGTGTTAGATCAAGGTTACAACTTCTACCTGATGAGTTTGATGATTCTCATTTCCCATTTGCTGGATAATGTGTGAGTATTAAATGGGAGAAGTTACATGTGAATCACTTCTGGAAGTTTAAGGGTTAAGGAAGGCACAGTCAGTGAGACATTTTCCCAAGTTTTATTTTTCCACTCATTTTTTTAACAATTTCCAGCTACGCACAGCAACAAAAGTTCAAGGTTATGAGGCGTCTGCATTTAAAGCTCATGATGAGGAGGATTACAGAAAGGTATGCCCTGTCATGTCTGTACATAAGCCTTGAGCTTGTTATTTTTAATTACTAAATGTTAATTACTCCGACCTGGAAATCAAGGGTTAACCAATTTGAATCCAAAGGGAGGCCCACTGGCCTCATGGCTAGTGTGCTCAACTCCTGATCAAGTGGTTGGTGACGGAGCCCTGGCTAGGGACATGGTGTCATTTTCTTAGTTAAGAGACTTTACTCTCACAATGCCTCTCTTCGCCGACACGTTTAAATGGTTACCAGCAAACTTAATGCTGGGTGGTAACCTTGTGATGGACTAGCTCTCCATCCAGGGGGGAGTAGAAATACTCCCAGTCCCTTTCTGCTACAGAAACCAGAGTTAAGGTGGCTGAACTCAGTTTTTGCGCTTGCTTTTGCTGATGCAATTCAGCGCACACACAAGGATTGCAAAAAAACAAACATGCCATCAACAGAGCGGTCATTTTATTTACTCAACGCATACCTGCACTATCTGTGCTATTTTTCTCTATAGCTGGCGCAGTGTATTGAGGGCTTTAATCTTTTATTACAAAGATATGTTAGAAAAGGTAACGGTCCAAAGAACCCAGCAATTCTCTGCTTTTTCATCATTTCCAAAAGAACCCAGTCAAATGCAGTGCATGCGTAGTAATTAAAAAATTTGCGATTGAATGGAAAATTGCTTTCTCGGAAATATGCCTATTTCTTGAGAACCACCCATTAGAATTTCACGAAATTTGGCACAAAAGTACTTTAGGAAATAAGTAACTGGAGTATTGAAAAAAAGTTGATTTTAAACAAAGGAAATTCTAGAAAATCGAGTGAACCTTCAACAAGGGGTAACTGAAGATCTCTCTGTTAAATTGTTAGCAAAATGGTGTTAACTTGTGAGTATCTTTACAAGCTCATTGCATGCAAGTTATAAAGAAAATCTAATGACTAGATTTACTACAAAGAAACAAAACCAATTATTTTTAATTGCCTGTTTATATCTATTCATGTCACCATGGCAATGGCACATATGTCA